AGTCTAGACCGAGCTACTGCAGAAATTCGAGCCTCCATGTTTCATAATGGAGGCTTAAGAGCCAGGATTAGATACTGCTAGATCTAAAAACCCGATACAAAGTACTGATTTAATATACATTAATTCATTAATTCAAGTTAGATATCCCTCAGTTCATCTGCAGCCAGAACAGAATGCGTATTTGTGATCCAGGTAATTGTGCAGAAATGTGATTATGTGGTGTCTCTGATGGAGCACAAACCTTGTCACTGTGCAGGTAACAAACTACTTTAATATTGGTCATAACAGGACCACAGCAAGGGTCTGTTTATCAACCAGAAAGCAGAACAACATTTTCTGGTCAGGAGTGAGGACTGAGGGAGGAAACAAGGGCTATTATTTACAACTATACAGGCAGAGAAACAGAAGAGGCGTTACATTGTGTAGTGAGTGTGTCAGAGGTATAAAATCAATCTTAATTCTACAAAGATGTAAGATACAACTAAACTCCCTATTGGGCAGTTACTCAGTTTTTATAGAAACAAATATATAGAACAGTAAGGTGTGAATATAAAGAATAATTAACCTTGGTACTTCTAGACATGGGATACTCTACTGCCTAGACAACTCACTGGTTTTCATCCTACTTTAAAAGAAGCATTTACCTGGAATTCATATAGGAGACCTTGCCAGCCCTATTCCAAGCCAGGCTTTCTGAAGAAAGTTAAAGCTGTTTTTCTTGGTAATTCTTCTCTTCATGTATCATCTCCATTGATTCAGCTTTTTGCAAAATGAAATTGGAGAGCCAACAGAGACACAGCAAAATCAAAGGCGGCCAAATTCAAGTCCATGCTCAGACTGCTTCGAACTTCAGTGCCAGAAAAGCAATCGCAGTTATCACAAACTGACCCAACAATATTCAGCTTGATTCTTCTAATTGCTTTAACAATAAAAATCAATGGTTAGAACTCTGTAGTATAAAGGAAACCTAGTAAGATTGAAATAATAGCTACAAGTGCAGAATTTTAGGAGTTCAAAGCACAACAAAACCAAAACCGGGCATATTTGATACAATTAGTTAATATTTACCCCTAGAAGAAACATTGCTTATCTTCTTAAATTTATTTTTTCATGAGATCCAGGCAATGTCATCAGCATCTTTAGACTATACCTGCATTTTGTGATGAATTATGAGCTCTTTCTCATTCCTAAACAAGATGTTAGTGTTCCCAGTGGACCCTATGTTCACCAAAATGGGATTTAACAATGCTTTTTTTTTTTTTGCTTTCTTAATCAAATAGCTTGATTTGCTGTTATAATAGTGCACTTAGAGAACATTCACAGTTCTGATCAATAAGTAAACACAGTATTGCATTTTTCATTACAAGAAAGCTTTCCCAACTGATCTTGAGAAAAAACATTAACCCTCCCAATAACTTTGTGAGGTTCACAGCAAATGACAGCAGAACACCTTGGGATGTCCTGTGGCAGGGTCAGGATTTGGATGATCCTGATGGGTCCCTCCCAGCTCAGCATATTCTGTGATTTCATGGCCAGTCCTCATCACGTGGCCATAGTCATATTTAGCACCAGGACAGGGCTCCATGAGTGGCAGCTTTCTCTGGCAGAAAGAACCAGTCAATATTTACATTCCTCATGAACATACAAAAGAGCATCAGGATACTTGAGAAATTAGCCCTTGATTGCCACTTGGAAGGCATCATCAGAAAGTCAAATCACTTCAGCATCTCCAACAACAGAACCACTTTCATTCTTGAGACTGGAGATCTCTCACAGATGTGTCAAGGTCTTTGCCTGGGAGCAGGAGATGTCTGAAGGGCACAATGAGTGCTGAAACAGCCTGATGTGAGGGGTTTATTATTTATAATGCGAAAAGATAAAAAAAGTATATGGTCAACTCCTGCTTTCTTTCTTGCTGAAGCAGCAGCCAGAAATCTGATAGTCCTGAGGCAGCTAGAGGGAATACTGGTGGGGTTCCTCAGTGCAGGATAGAGAGGGTTCCAATGTAATATTAAATTGTTGCTGAAGTTGGGGGACACAGATGCAGTGGATTCAATACGGCATTCAAGTTCCCAAAATGTCACCACATAGAACAGCCCTAAATCTTGGCTTAGAAGTCACAAAACATCCAGTGCCTTTCCAAGTGAGATCTCAGCTCCTCTCATTTCCTGCATACAATAGCATTATTCAGTCACTGAAGTTTCCACTTAGCTTGCATTTATGCCAAGTACTTTTAATTGCAAAGGAAAAGGATGTTAAGCTCTCCCATTTCTTTCTTTCTAATTCATAAGGGACACATCAGTGGTTGGTAAAAGTTATAGGTTAAGGATTGTTCTCCCATTTATTCAGGGACTCACATCCTCCTCCTGCTGCCAGGCAAACAGAGGTTACCTCCACTGCAAGGGCAGGAAAAGTTACCTTGTCACTTGTAAAATACAAAAAAGGCAAATCTTTGTAAACTATCTACCAAACAGGCTTCAGGGACAGCAGCTAAACCTGCAAGGTTTACAAACGATCTGAGTCACCTTGGCCACCACAGGTCTCACTGGAGAATGGATACTGAGTGTTCACCCAACACACTCACAGAAATCCAGACAGCATCCAGCTCAAAGAATTCATCACAACATGGAGAGCAGCAGCTTTGACAGAAGCAAAATGCTGCATAGCAAGGAATGAAACAACTGGAAAAACAGATGCTTAATTTCTACTTATTTTTGGCAGCCTTGTTACCATGATATCTGTTAAATGAGGAAAAAAAGCTGCTGAATGTTGCTTAGTCAGGAATCCATGAACCACAGCCTCATCTCTGGACTATCAGGGTGGCAGTACAGCCCTACAGAAACTTATTTTCCTTTTGATCAATCCATGGAAGGGTCTGAAGTAACGTTTCCATATGGGTTTTGTTCCTATTATGCAAGATCTGATGAACTACATTGTCTGAGACAAAGGGATTAAATTAATTGAAGTGGTGTTTTGGGCTTGGGAGTGCTTTTAAGTGTCTTCACCCCACCTCTTCAGCCTTGGGACAAGTGACTTATTAGCTAATTACCATGCAAATGAACTGAAATGTAAATTAAATGCTACATTCTAACATAGCTTAATAGTCCCAGGAGCAAGAATTTAGTTATTTTAATGAATGGTAATTCTATCCAAAAATATAGTTTATTAACAAGCACATACAATAATTCGCACCACTAACTTTAAATAAACCATCTAGCAAGCTCACCTTCACACTAAGTGACATTTGGTTAATACAGAGCAAGAAAGCAATGCACATATGCTTTCCACAGACACAGAATGAACTCAGTTGCAAACAGAGTTCAAGTTATAATCCAAAAAAGGGCACATAAAAGCAAAAGCAATGAAGACTTCACGTGAACATTGCCATTTCTTTCCACCAGACCTTCGGTTTCCTACAAAATAGGTCTGTAATACAAAAAAGTAATAAAAACTCTGGATTCAATTTATTCAGCCTCTCCCATCACAAGTTAACTATAACATTTTGCAACAACATGAGTAGTATTAAGAGGGAGGTGAGGGGCAAAGATAGTTACATCTTGGAATTATGGAAGTGCAGCTGCAGACGGAACAGCAGCCATGGATTCCACTGTGTCGTCCCAGTTTTTGCAAGAAATACAAAGATGGTAACACACATTCCTCCCTCTCATTAATTAAAACTTGACCCATTGTCCACTGACATCAGGGCAAAAGTTCTTCTGTTATCAGTAGCACTCTGCTGGGGCCAAAGTGGCCTTCAAAAGCCAGTTGTCCTCTCTAGTGACAGGTTTGTCACTCTCCAGTCTTCAGCTGGGCCATGATGTCAGTAGAACCTGACACGCTGCTCCCACACTGGTGTTCGAACAGTCCTGTGCTCCCTTCAATGCCAGAAAAAGGGATTCAGCAGAATTCAATCTGCAGGAATTGAAGCCAACTTGGCAATAAACAGCACCGCTCTGCTCAGAGCAACATCTCAACCTCACCACAACCAAGTAAATAGAAGGGTTGTAATGAACCGTGGTAAGAGCCCAGGAGAAGCATCAAAACAGAAAAAATACACATTTCTTTATATTAGACCTTGCTCTTTGCACAGGAAAGGGCATTTCTGATCCTCTGAGAGAAGATGAGGAAGATTCCCAGGAACAGTGCTCTGAATGTAACAGTGTCCACGTCAAAAGCACTCAAAAGGATTTTTAAACAAAGCCAGAGATTCCTCCATTTCCTTCATGGCAAAACAAAAGGCTACCTCTATAAAGGGCTTGAATTTTATTAATATGGTGCCTATTATCACAACTTAGACAAAAATTATGCCTGTGATCCCTAATTATAATTGGAGTTAATCATTACTTAGAAAACTTTTATAGCAGTACCAATGGGTTAAAGACTTATTTTATCTCATCTCATCCCTCTCCTGCACCTTTCTCTTTGTAATGCCTTGAGGAAAAAAAACAACTTTTCCTGCTTCCACCCTATGTGAAGAATTAAGATCTACTGTTAACAAACTTTTTAAATTCATTTTTTTCATTTCATAAATTCATTTTAAATTCATTTTTTTTAACATCTGGCACCTGATGTTTTGCAGTACACAGAAAAAATCACCTAGCTGGGAACTAACCTAACAAACCAGAGCAAGAAATCAAAAATTACCCAGAAACAAACCAACTAAAGAGAAGTCCAAGTACTGTGGCACCTTCAAAAACCAGTGATGCACAGTTCAATCAGCAACAAAATCCCTCTCTGCAATTTGGATAGCTGGCTCTCATGCTTGCTGGTTATGAAATACTCTTATAGCTGAACAACTTTAGAAAAAATTGGACAAGTGAGAATGGAGTTTTTTTAATCTAAAAGAATATCACCCAAAGATACAGATGAATACAAACACTGTTCATATTAAAAAAAAAAACCCAAAACATCAAACATGAATTTAAGCTGCATTCTCAGTCTATATATTGGCTTTCCCCTTCTTTGTTTTATAAAAATAGGGCATGACATTTCAGCTTCAATTGCATGTTTAAGTCATTTATTTATTGAACATTCCATTCTTGAAATATCATCTATGAAAGTGTTAAGATTCGTCCTGCTTATAGAACAGGCTAAATTTCTTCTGAACTGCACTTGGAGACAATAAAGATACTGGTGCAGACTCAATAAGAAACAATTAGATTATGGGAAGAAAAAAAAAGTTATAATAATAAAATCAAGCTTCACTCTTCTTGACTCCTAATAAAACAAATGCTAATGTCTTTTAGGTGATCACAGCCAGATTTAACTCCAAAATAGTATTTACAGACTTAATTCAGATATAAACTGTGATTTCAAGTCTACAACTTGCTATAAAAAGAGGACAAAAACTTCCAAGAAAACATCTTCTTCAAAGACAGAGGAAGCCACAGTAAAAATCAATACTAAAAATTCCTGATCGGAGTATTGTATAAAATTAACATCTGTAACACTACCATAGCTTTTATCATCTGTTTTTAAAAAAGTGGATTCTGTCCTACACTTGCACATTTCTGACAGAGATATAATTGTACATGGGCAGTTTACACCTCAGCTCTGAGGTACTGAAGGAAAAGGATGAAGCTGAAGGTGGATTTTGCTGCCTCAGCAGTGAACCCTGTGAGGTGGCTGGGCCTGCTGGGATTCCAACGTGGAAACAAACCTGGGAAACAACACAGACAGAAATTCAAAAGCACCAAGGCTGCTTGGACATGGCTCTTTCCCCTACTGCAAAGCAGATTTAATAAATGGGATTTATTTTAGAAAGTTTCACAATTTTTAAGGAGTAGATGATACTTGCATTCCTGAATGATTAAGTTCTACATTTCTTAATGCTAATTCAACTCTCTAATAATACCAACCCAATAAAACCAGGAAACATTTTTACAAGTAACATGCACAACCTAAAAATTCCACCTCAAAACTGCCTTTTTGGTGCTCTTTTAAACTCTTAAGATACTCTATTTATTGAAAAGATGCCAGGAAGCCTGCAGAGGGAACAAATGCTTCTTTGGCAACAGGAAAACATTTTAATGCCTCCTGCCTTCAAAGTACGCACACCTTACCACAACATATGCTAATACACTACCAAATAAGTCTCTTTATCTTGCCATTTTTATAACAAACTGTTTCATTCATATCTATTTCAGCTTGTAACTACCTACTGCACAGAGCAGCACACTGTGCTAAATCAACAAGTGGTTTATGCCTAAGAAATAGAAACTGAAAAAAAAAAAGAACAAATTATATTTAAAAAAATATTATATATTCAAAAACAAATCAAAAGGAGCTGATCATCTATAAACTGTTTCGGTATAAAATAAAAATCTTTAGTCACGTAGGCATTTTGGGCCTTTTTTCCATCCTTTGTTCTTTATTTAAAATAAACAAGATGTAACAAAAAAAAGATTCCCACAAATACAATAGTGAGTGGCAATTTGTACCAAATCTGCCATTAATGTATAAAAACAAATGTCCCAGCCCTTCTGTGCCCGTATCTGTGTGCGAATATACCCGTGCATGGAGATACACACCTGCTCCTGGATTTCCAGCCTTCTCCAAGGCACACAATCCACTGACACACTTGGACAAATCAGCCAAATGCTGAATCTAGAAAAAGATCAAGACCAGCTCTTTGCAGATCTATAGCCTGCAACTGTAAAAATACAATAAAGATTTACTATCATATTACTAGTTGGATTTTTTCCAAGGGAAATTGATACTTAAAGTTGTCTTCTTCCTGAAGAATTCCATGGAACAAAAGGAGAACTATTTCTAAAAATAAAGCAATGAAAATAAAGACAACACACCCTCAAACATGCTGGATCAAGAGCCCTTAGTGTAGGCATCAGTACCAGCCTTCACTGGAACAGGATCTTCAGTCTCCAGACATATCCTAGTTACTCCCATTAAATAACTGTGGTATTTAATGATACTAGAAAGTAAGATCTGCTTTTAGCATGCGGATTTAAATACCACAGAGAACTGTCAAAGTCTTGGTATACAACTGGGATAATTCTGCTGCAGTAAACATTAAGATGAGAGGGAGAAAATAAGGCTGAATTCTATGGAAAAGTCAGAGGGATCCATCAAAGGTTTTTGCAGGTTTACAGCAATACACCTGATTCCAGCTGTACAGAGGAAGAAGATAGGGATGAATAAGTGAAAATTTGTTTGCTACAACTGAACTTTTTTTTCCATGTAGAGGAATGCAACTGCCTCAAATGATGCAATGGGTCAACCTGAAATCAGTCACATTTGAAAAATATTGGAAATCCTGAAGTCAGAGCTTGTGAATGTGTTTGGTTTGTGTGTTGCCTTAGAGGAGAGAGAAATTAATACTTTTAAAAGCTCAGTATTTACACTTCTGAAAAGTTCCTGCAGTTCATCCAGATTTGATAGGGCAGGATTTAAGTGCCTCAGAGTGTTCCTGACTGGGCACTTCTGCTGCTTTGGCACAAGCACACACGGTATTCCAGTACCACGGGGACACGGCGTCAAATGCAGCTTTACACTGGCAGCACTCCTGAGGAGGTTGAAATGTTTATCAACTCAGTAGGTCAAAAGTCTGCAGACACTGGGTGGAACAGCAGTATGCCACAAAACTAACAGTTGTCCTCCTAGGAGAAAAAAAAAAAAACAACAAAAGGGGAGGGGGGGAACAGTTGTCAGTAAAGATTAAAGCTCCTGGCTCCATGCCACACAGACAACATGTTGGTTTGTAAAATATGGGATTAGCCCATCTCCACAGCCCAGAAAAGCACAGGTTCATTTTCTGTCTCTGACACTAAGGCAGGGAAACACTGCAGGAGTTCTCAAAACCTTCCTGGTTTCTTATACACTAGGTTTAGAGCAGCAGTGTGTGGTTTTTCTCTCTGAGCAGGGTGTGCCCGAGTGTCACAGCCAGCAGGTTTAGCAGCTGACAGGAAAATAGCTGGGCAGCCTCGGCACTGCTCGTGTGTTTCTTAAATTACTGCTTGTAGGCATGAAATGACTGAAGGCCAGTGTCCTCCCTGCTTAGCAGAGTGAACAAGCAGATCTTCAAAAAGGATGAGTGACAGGCAGTGCTGTCACACTGTGCCACGCAGTGCAGCAGGAATGGCACTGTGCAAGTGTGATCCGAGCCTCACAGTGACCCTGCTCCTGCTCCACCCTGGCAGGGACTGAGATATCTGCCTTACAAATGTTCAGATCTGTTTTTCACTAACCCAGAAATCACACTTTACCCAGTGCTCATGGCATCTGTGCTTTTTCAGATACAGAAATTCAGTCCAACATGTAACTCTCTTTCCCTCCAAGAGGATACAGAATGTGATACGGAAATCCAGGCAGGAGTTACTGGCATGGATGTGGCATGTGCTAATCAGTGCTGCTCAAACGCCCAGGATCCCTACCCTGTGTGTTTTCATGGTCACTTTAAGCTCTTTAGAACAGAAACCCTGTCCTTCACATCTTTCTAAACCAGCTATCACACCTCCACAATTCCACATAATCTTACCACGTCAAGTGCACAAGCTACAGAGATAAGGATGACAGGCTGCCCTGTTTAGATCTCATTTTCTGTGGATTTGCATCAAATGTCAGCTACTTAACACTGGATTCATTAAAGGCATTTTGCAGAACACAGTACATTCTTGTCTAAGGGAAGGAATGATAACTATTTTTGAAACAAGTGAAAACCATATGTATTTTTAATTATTATATTTTAGAATGTTAATACAGAGCTCTTCCAAAACAGCTTAAAGTATGTTTTTGTGGAGTCTTAGCTTTAATAATTCCTAAAAGTGTCTACTGATAATGTCTATCATCTTATAACTGTAACTTCTACAATGAGCAATGCTTAGCAATTAATTACAAAGTAGTCCAAACTCTCACATTGTTGAATTATTCAGGGTAATAGATGGATTTAGTGATGAGCCAGTAGTTTTCCATCATTTTCTTAGAAAATGATACTGTTGAATGTTTGAAAGAGATTCTTTATAGCATGATTATAACATGACTAAGAATATTATGACTGTAATATGGAAGTTAATTATTTCACTCAACATGAAATTCACTGGATTTCGACATATGACTGAAGTGTAACAGAGTGGCAAATTGAAGTGTGCAATCTCTGCAATCAGATCTTTCTAAGAAAGATGGTTTTCCAAAATAGCATTTATGCAGCCCTCTGGCTGCTGCCCAGATTTGGCATACCTAAGTTGCTTCATTTCATACAGCTGAATTGCTTACAAATCAGATGCTTCTCATATTACAAACTCACAGCACAACAGGCTGTGATACAGCTGTGTAAAACAGGTACCATCAACCTGAACCATCCATTAGCCTCTTCTCTTTTATTGAAGGTCTTCCTATTGAAAAGCAGTTTCCTGTTTTTATGGAAGATCAAATCAACTATCAAATCAATGGATTTCCACAGGCCAGGAACTAAGTGGTGTTCCTGCATTATATAGACACCAACAAGTAATCTGAAGAACATTTCTTTTTAGAGCACTTTTCTTTTCTGCCCACCAGCTTTAACTGGTAATTATCAGCTTTGTAATTAATGGCTTGACTTGAATTCTCTAACAAGAATCTGTAACATTACCTTTATTTGTTTAACTCCAAGTGACTTAGCTTTAAACCTCCTTTATTACTTTTCAAATAGTACAAGCTGAAATTTCTCAGATGATGCTTTTCTGTCGCAGAAAGTGGATTCCTTGATATTATGGCTCACGGAAGGCTACAGTATCTAATCACACTAATAAGGATTAGGGAAGAATCACTGCAGAACAATCAGGGCCCACCTTAAAAGGCATTTTATATCTTTATCTACATGAAGGCAACATTCCCTGAACCATATCCCCATTTTGAGTCCCTTCCATGACTGTACTGCCCAGTAGGTCAGCAAGTCTGTGTGGGCTTGTGCACTTGACTTGTGAATCCTGCAGACACTTTCACAACTGCTACAACCATAAAACTGAAGTATTATTAAAAACATGTATTGCTACAAAATGTATGTTCCTATGCAGAATGCTTCCACAGCATATCTCAAGTTAATTAGTGTGAAAATCAAAACAAAAGTATTTTACTGCAGAACATTTTAATTAAGCTCCAGCTTTAGAGCTATTTTCCATCTTGATCCTGCAGCACTTTTTGTTTGGTGGTGGCAATCTGAAGTCAGGGTTGAGACCATCAGGGCAATTACTGGTGTTAGGTAGCACTTCCTTCCCAGGGCACAGAACTGCCAGGCATGTGATGCACTACCACAAACAGCTCAATCCCATCCTATCCAAACCCTTTCCTGTCTTACACCAGGCTGAGACAAGCATATCTAAGACCCTTTTAACAGTCTAACAGAAATATTTTAGTTGACTCATGAATAAAATATTTGTCAACGTATACATGGAATCACAGGCTAGGGACTTTGGATCTGAAATGGTACATTTAAAAAAAAAATCCTTAAGAATATGCTTTGTTCTATAAGGTGTTTTTCTTCCTAAATGAAACCCCAGTGTAATTTCCTGTATAATTACCCTTGATGCAATCCTGCCATTGGAGTTTCCCTCAAGGGAAAGAGCTTTGGGTAGACAATGGTAAACATAGGCTGGCTGCAGCGGTGGCAGTGTCCCAAGGGACAGTGCAGCAATTCCAAGAGGCTTTTGGGTAGTGAGATTGGAGTCAGAAAGTTTAAATCTAGAGAAGAAAAGAAACAAAAATATTTATAATAAAATTATTGCATGATAAAGGCAAAAACAAGCATGATCCATGAACAATTCAGAAAACAGCTGCCTCACATTCTTAAGGTTTTGTCAAAACAATGAGGTAATACAAATTACCACAATTAAAGTGAGACACATAGTGCTTTGTATGTCTAAATTCAAAAAGCTGAAGTTAAATGTACAAGTTTAGCATCTGTGGGCATAAGTTTAACTGGGCTAAAATATCCAGGTGAAAATATCATAGCTTGAGTAAATATTAGAAAGGATTAAAAGATCATGAAGGGTTTTTAGACACAGAGATGATCTAGACAGATATTTAGTAACTAATACAATACAACCTTATGAAAAGGACATCAGTAGTATTTTATTAATGTATTTCAGCAACCAATCCAGCAGGATAGATAACCTCACTACAAAGCCCAAACTCCACCATCAGCAAAAAGGAATTTGCAGTATTTGGAATTACTTGAAATTCAATCCAGCCCAGCATAATTCTCACAGGCCCAACCAAAGAGACCACTCTAAAAAGATTGATACATTCCTCATCTGTTAAGTGTTCCCCCACAGCCTACAAAATGCCATCATTTTCACCAAAAGGGACTGCAGGGTCATTTCCTGGGAAAGAACCATCACTTTCCCAGGCCTGGCCCAAGCCACACAATGTTTTATAAATTAAACCCCACATGCTAATCTCCATCCAGAAACTGAGAGACAGCCAAGACAGGTGAGTGAGTTTAGGTGCTGAGTCATCAAGACAAGATGCAGTACCTGATAAATCAGCTTTATGGTATCACACTGGTTTCAGCTTTCCAACACTGCAAGGCTGAACCCCACACACAATGTACCACAAGAGCCCCAAGGAGAGGATGAGCAGGACATGTGCGTCAGAAAGAAAAGGTCACACTCTGCAGCCAAGCAAAGATTGAGGAAAAGTAGTCCAGTCACTTCTGTCACTTCCCCAGCAACTGCCAAGTATTTAACAGCACTCTTGAAACTGCAAATTTAGGCAGTGACAGATGAAATCTGCTACTTTAATCATATGTGCCACCTGCTTCCCCAGCACAGCATTATCGTACACCTGTCTGATGCAGGCACTGCTCCTGCTCACCAGAACTGGGCTGTTGCAGTGGTAATGCCCAAAGTCCTTAATAAGGTCACTCAGAACAGGACATAGCTATGGGAGTGTGTATATGGATATATAAATCCATCTTTTTCGGGTTCTGCATCTTGGCTGCAAATAGGTGTAATCCTCACAGCCTTGTATAAAACTGTTTACAAGCCAGTCCATAAACTGATTTTGCAGTATCACCTTCCCATTCCCAAACCAAAGTTCACTGGCATCTTCAGGAACCACGTCCACACAGCTGGATTCCAGAAACGATTGTGCAAGTCACATGTGGGTGAGAAAAGGCAGACTTCCTTGTACACTTTTCCTGGCAAAGCAGTGAGGATTTACTCCAGTGGCCAAGGTACAAAGAGACCCTTCCCACAACCCCTCTGATGTTCTCACTGGAACTCTCCACTCTTCCGCTTTCTCCTTTGACCTTTAAAGCTGAGAATTCCCAAGATAGCATCAACAGTGGGGAGTCACAACACATCCAGATCTGAGAGGATCTGCAGGTTATCATCAGATATTGCTAACTCATGTGATTGCATGATGCAGAACCAGATAAGCCAAGGGCCACTCTGGAGCAGAGAGTCTGAATTGGGGCAGAACTAAAGCAGCTCAGCTGTCACGCTGTGCCGAAATGGCCGAGGGCTGCTCGCATTGCTTCTGCCTTATGTATAACAAGTCTGCCAGTTTAGGAGTGTGCTGCCTGGCAAGGAGCTGCATTGTTGGCTGATGCATCTGATCTTGCCTCAGGAACTGTATTTCTCATCTATTTCCATTAAAGAGTTTCTCCTGCAAAAAAAAGCATCCTTCTTCATAGAGACTTCAAGTAAGGAACCATTTATAAGCACCACTTGACCTCAGAAATAGTCTTTGGAACTCTGGTTTTTGATATGGACATTTTTGTTCTAATACAGCATTTCAAACATAATTCGATTAAATAAATCTTTTAAAGTATAAATCTTTGCCCAAGCCTTTGAAGAACTGTTAAAAATGTTCCTATCACTGCCAGAAAATGCTTTCACTCTTTCTCTCATCTGAAGAAAGCAGAAATTTCATACCTTTCAAAAACCTGTAGTAGGTGTTATAGAGGGTCCTCATGGCCAGTTCTTGCAAAGGCAGGACATGATCAGTTTCTGTCCCTATAGATTTCACCTCTGCTGGCAGGAACACAGTTAACTGGCCTGATGAAAAAGAGAGCAGTTTCACCTCTGAAACTTGAATTGGAGAACCACAACTAGAAGGACACAAGACATTTAGAAAGTGGTTAGAAAAAAAATAATAAAAGTAACTTTATAGGGAAACCCAGATGACCAACCCAAAGTAAGCCTGATAGTGTTCTCCAGTGCAGCACCCCTCAAGGATTCCTTGCAAAGAGCAGTGCCTGGTGGGGTTGACCTTTAAAGGTCCCTTCCCAAACTATTCTATGATTCTATGTTTCTACAGATTCCCACCTTCTGTGATGTGCTAGACATGGGACATTTGGAGGAATTACTCATCAAATAACATAAAGAAATGAGAACACAACCCCAAGGGGGTGAACCACGTATGCTACGTACCCATTACTTTGCCCATATGGCAATCTCTTTTAGCCTCTTGTTAGTAAATCCTTTACTGAGAGAGCAGTTTCTTACCAACAGTTTGCTTCCCATGCCTTGGATCAACCAGCTGAAAACAAACTCCAGCTCCCCCAAAAAATGTATTTTAAGTGCTACTGGGTGATTCTGTACTACACCTTTCCCCATCCACAGAGTTCCCTTGGAGGGCATGGGGTGGGCAGATGAAGGAAAAATAAAAAACAACTGCAATGCTGTAGTGGGAAGATATCCTAGTAAGTCTATTAGCCTTGCCCTTCCCAAATCATATATGGAAAGGGAAGGTTATTTGGATCCAAAGAGAGAAACTTAGCTTGTAGTAAAAATAATAACTCTTTACGTGATCCCTGTTGCAAGCGATCATACCAGAGAGACACGCATAGGAAAATTCTACTAAGAGGTTGGGGAAGTCAACAGGGGAATTGGAATTGTTTATGACAACTGAAATTTGAAGCCAAGAGCAACTTGTTAGGGCCAGTCCTAACAAATGGAACAGAAACACAAATTTGTCAGCCTTCCCAGCTATTAGACCTAAAACGGAGGTACCACTCTCAAATTTATCAGATGTGAAAGAAGTCTCATAGTACTCCTCTGACAGCAAAGAATCTCCTCTCTTCTGATTAAAGGAGAAATAGCCCAAAGAATCAACCAAAAAAGAGCAGCATCAAACAGCAAGCAAGTCAATAAGTCTCTTGCTAAATATTTAATACTTTCCCATTAGTGAGGTTAAAATCTAAGTGGGAATTCAGAGAGCCAGTATTCCAGAGATCCATTCCCAATGAGTTATCACAGTAAATAAATCCATAATGTTGTATTCCCAAACTGAATAACCCCTTACCAACCTCACTAAGGAACAAACCCATATGAACTCACTACAGCCTCTGCAGTTCAGAGCTGGGACATTTGGTCTACTTCATGTAAAGGGTGAGGCTATTAATGCCACACACAAAATCCATGGAGGTTAAAAATTGGAACAGAGGATGGTCTAAACAGCTGGGGAAAAATAGGAGCTGCAGAAGAAGCCTGGTGGATAAATAAGTGAGGGAAAAAAAAAGCTGAGACCACCTATTGGCTGCCTTCAACAAGACTGACAAATCCCTAACTGGGGACTATGAAATCCAATCTGCAAAAAATAAGATCAAAATTTATTTTGAGTGCTGAGATCATCACCTCTCATATAAAAGACTTTTTTCAGTCAGTCTGACTGCAGGATGCCCAGACAGAGATTCAATACTTACACAAGGCAATTTATATTCTATTTTCAGAAATCAAGCTTTATGTCAGTAACAGCAGCTTGTCAGATTTTATCCTCCAGTGGAGGGCCAGACAGAGCACTAAAGCCTGGATCTTCAACTCTTGCCTGACCCATGAAAACCTTAGCCTGGTTACTAATGCTTTCTTGGAAAGAACACAGACATTCTTCACATGACCATTATTACACAATTTTAAAGTCTCTCAGCACATTATCAAATAAACCCTTTGGTTTCTTAACAACATATATGTGCTCTTCCCATACTGATTTTTTTTCTTAAAAATAATCTGTAATATTTCAAGACAGATTCACAGCAAAGACAAGGATGTTTGGTGCAAAAGTACAAACATTTTTCTTACTAGAAATGATCTCTTTTTACTATTCATTATTAAGGAAATAAATCACTTTTCATTCTACAGAGACATTACAAGAATCAATTTAATTGCAACATTTGCAACACCTTTATTCTCTTCTATACTAGATTTTTAAGACTAGATTCTGTAATTCTGTACTAGATTTATAATATCAGAGATAGTAGCAGGTGGTCTCATCAGCACTGTACATGTAAGAACAGCAGAAAGAACTGGTAGGCTCATCACAAAGGTCAGTGCAAAGATAAAATTATTTTCACTGAGTAGAAAATGAAAACTTAAAAAAAAAAAAATACATGGTTGTTGTATAAAACCACCTGAAATAGGCAGAACAGTTAGACCATCTCCTGCATTATTATTACTGGTTTTGGTTACAATCAATACAATTCTGTTAAATGTAAGGTCAATTTAATGTCTGTCTAACAATTTACAATCAGTTCTGAAAGAAAAAAGGCTAGAATTCATCCTTCCTGAAAAACAAAATTAGTAAAAGCTTGCGAGTCACACAGTTCAGCAGAACTGTAATCCAACTGCAAGTATTTAAATATCACCAAGCAGCTGACATGGGAATATTAGAAAAACCTTAAATGCCAAGACTCAGCATCTCCCATATTGCAGCAGAGTGCAGACTGTAGAGAGGGAATTTATATTTAATGCGAGATCTGCTGAGAGTGAGCATACCAGAAATTTATAATTAGATGGTAATGGGGACAATCCTCTTCTGATCAGTTTTACACCAGTAAGGCTCCATTCATCAGGGGTGCTGATCCTAATTTATGCCAGTGTCAGGGCAGAAAGAATTAAGCCAGTGTCCTACACAGACCACTTTTTTCTTGCATTCTAACCACAAACATGAGACAGCCCAGGATATTTTTAAAATCCACAAGTAAAAATAAACCTGTCAATCCAAAACTCCTAAAAAAAGTCACTTTAGTTAGTAGGTACCAAGACCTACAAGAAGCTGATACTGGGATGTAAAATGAGTGAAGGAGCTGCATGTGACTTTTCAAGATATGACCAACAACTTACAGAAATGTGAGCACTTAGAAACAAAGAGACGCTGCAATATATTAAAAATTATTTTGTTCATTCTTTAGTTCTGGAAACTCTGTGAAGCAGACACTTTTGGCCAACTTTTAAAGTCAGCTCTAGGCCTTATTATTACAAATTCTTTCAGAGTAACTTCACTGTTATGCCTTAATACTAAAATAGTCAAATGGCAGCAATTAACACAGAAGATTTATTACAAAAATAAAACAGAGCTGGAAGCTGCAGTAATCCCCTCCAAGTAACATCAGCTCTGAATCAATCACAGACACACAAAAAATAACTAATTGTATCATACAGGAGAAATTTTACAAGGACAGGTACACAAGACATCTGAATTAATTCATACCTACCCACTACAACCAATGACTTTATTATACAGATAGGATGGGAGGCCTTTCAGGTGAATGTTGTTATCCACATAAACATATTGGAGCTCTCGAGAGCGACCTAAATCTGGGGTTAGAAAACAAGAAAAGTCAAGGGGAGAAAGGATGACAATTATAGTGACAATTACAAGCACAACGATTCTCTTTAATTATAAATAAGCTAATCAGAGTCAATGTAAGCAAACATAAATTAGTACTTCTCAGTTGTAAAATTTCAGCCAATGGTTTTATTATGGATGAGCTGAAAAGCTGTTTAGAAGCAAGCATTTCAAATTACTAAAACAAAACAAAGCCCTCTTTCAGAAGCCCTGAAAATCCCATTATAAATAATTAAATTTTAACATTGACAAACTCTGAAGTCAGTTTGAAGAAGCAAAGGGACAATTGATTTCAAATCCTCAGTGCATACTTCAAGTTCATAAGGTCAAACCTGCTTTCATTAACTGGCCTCATGTCAGTGAAATCACAGCTTCTCTATCTTTGGGAAAGTGGGCAAGACAGACACAAGAATGTGCTCTGTCCCCCTCCTTGTCTTCTCCAAGGAGGGATCCTTGCTGATATTCATTAGCCTTAACCAAATACAAGCGCAGTCATTCAGAAACGAGTCTGTGTGATGCAGTGAATTGCAGAGCCCAAGAAAACACAAAGCATTAAACTGCAGAATGTTAGACATCAAAAGTTGTGGCTGCTGTAAATGATCAATACTTCTGGAGGTGTGCTGATTGCATTACTGCTCTTAAAATATTCATGGCTGGTAGTCAAAAGAAGCAAGTACAGCATGATTAAGTAATGCCTTCATGGACTAGAAATCTAATAAGATACCTCTAGGTAGAAGCATATCAGTATGGATCTATTTTATTTTGCTTAGAAAATTAAAATTAAATGGGAAAATTTAGGTTTCTTGGAAGAATTCTCAGAAATGAGAATTCTGCTTATTAGCAAGGTCTAGTGAGTGGTAAAACTGTCTGCTATTAAAAGAAGTGAAAAACAAATGAGCGATATTTCAAAAGACACCAAATTGAACTAAACAGAAAAATCTGAACAAGTTCAGTACTAGTAAGAAAGCTGATGTGTAGGAAAGGATCAGCTGGGCAGCTCAACTCATCTGTCACTCCCATGCCCTTTCAGACACTGAGGTGGGAAAAGGTTTCTATGTTTAGTGCAAAGCACAAACCAGGAGAACCAAGTCTGAAAGTCTCTGCCCAGGATGGGAGAGCTGTGACCCAGACAAACTGCACCACGAAAAACACAAATCATCTGTGTGCCTCCCAACTTGTTAAACTTTCATGAGGACCTTAGAGAGACTAAGATAAACAAGCATTTGGCTGCATCAGCCACAGCAAGACAATACTAATATTGACTATTTCTGACTTCCCATCTTTATCAGTTACCTTGGCTGGCAGAAATAAAAGGGTAACTTAAGAAATGGGCACAGCTTCTTCTGTCCCCTTTGTAATCATAACCAAGATCAGAATAAAAATTAAAACAATTTCCATGATATTTCTATTCAGAAATTCTATTTAGAATACTGATTTCTTTTCATTCCCTAGTAAAGTAATAGCTAATATAAACTCTTCTTTATTACTGAATAGTTTTATTGCACACAAGAGCCCTAAATATCACTTAGTGCAGATATTTTGAGTGATCCCTCCCCAAACGTGTGTCCATCTTAAAATATACTGAATGTCTTCAGCTGTCACCCACTTGAATGGCAGCTGTGAGCACCAGAAACCTTAAAAGTTTGTGCTTGAGGAGTGGCACAATATCAAATCTGTGATATAAACAAGTGATGATACCAACAGAAAACAAAGAGTTTCTAAAATAAAAGCATTAACAGAGAAAAAAGTGAGTTTGGAGGTTTTTTTCCCTTTAACACAGGCCCTTGCTTTGCAACAGTCTGGGGGGTTTCAGGGACCATAATCTGGGCTTTGTTCAAAGCAGGCACTGGACATCAAGGGACACATTCAACCATCACATGCTGCTTTGACCCTGTCCCAGAGACATTCCAGCTCACAGAAGTATCTGCTGCATCCATCAAGGGTCCTGCCTTAGGATGGGAGCACAAATCCCTCTGCTGACTGATGGGCACTGCTGGAGATGCTGCTGAGCATCACCTCAACAAGATGATTTATTTGGGCTCATTATTGCAGGGCTGAAAATAGTTTAGTAAAGTTCTGGGATATTTTTAGATGAAACAAAACCCCATTGTTATCCTACAATGAATAAAAATACTGCAACCCAGAGGCAATGTAACACCATAAAATATTGTAAGGCTGGTGAGGAATCAGCCAATACAATTTACAGCAGGTAGCAGGTGGATGGGACGTGTAATGTTCAGAGAATGCTCCCTCGCGTTGCAGAAGCCAGTTAGAATAAAACCAGCAGAAAACTATGGGTTGCTGGGGTAGCTTGAATATGCTACTGTTTAACTTATTAATTTAGAGAATGGCAGAAAATTTTTAAAAGAGGCTCATCTTGCTGGTTTCTACACAGATGTATGCAAATGGGCTGAAAATCAGGCAAGTCAAAAAAAGCCCTAAAGCTGTTCTTTTCATATGCACTGAGAGGGGGGAGTGAGGCTGCATCTCATCTCTTCCCTCTGTCTTTATCTTATGCTATGTTTAGATTCTAAGTTCTGAGTTGACTGCATTTCCTAGGTAATTAAAGCAAATTTTTGGATGTTAGACAAAATATCTCAGTAGGAAAAATTCAATTCCCAAAGCCAAATAGCCTGTAACTATAAATGTTCCTTTGATAGAGTTTCTTTGCATTAAATAACCAAGCATCTTCTAGACTCCAAAAGATTTTTTCCCAGTTTCAAACATTATCCATAAAGTTTAAATTTTAATAAATCATCACTTTGAAAGGCTCTTTGTATCCCATCCACATTAATTTTTATGTCTTATATCAGCCAACAAATATTGTTAAAAGTTCTCTAAAAACCATGCTTCTGAAGAACTCTGTGCAATAAGGAAGCTGCCCATCTCTGAAAAGGCTAAAGCTACAAAGAAGGTTTTCATGTGGCTTTTGCAAGCACTGTACTGTGTCTAAAACATTTCCACTTTCCTACTTCCAGCCTCCCAGATCAAAGACCTCTCTCCCAGAAATGACCAAATGCCATGAGTCCTGAACAAACCCCAATTCTATTTTTTTTTCTTTTTCTCCCTCTTTTTTTTTTTCCCTTTTTTTTTTTTAACCTCAGGGCCCTGGCATATGCATTCCACATGGCTGAAGATGGAACAAAAGCTCTTGTGTGGCTGCACTGATGCTCTTTTAACCATACTGTGAGGGCATGGACACAAAAGCAGCATATACTGAGGTAGAATAAGACCTTTGTTTACTGTGCACTGATAATTACTAGACCCATTTTCTAAAGAAAAAGTGCACATAAGCCCTCAAATAAAGTGATATAATACTGAATATCTGCTGTCATAACATCCCCTGAACTGCCAGTATACTTGAGAATTTATGGCTTATTTTAATTATATTTGTACTTTATTACACAAATGATTTTTATTTTTGCAGTGTCATCAGATTCACATTTCTGCTTGCAGTGGAATTTGTTTTCAGGCACTGGAACACTCACTAATGCTAAAAATTTAAAGTTAATTTTCTGTCAAAAGATAATATATGCTGTAAGTAGATCAATATACAATGATCAGCAGATTTCTAAGGCCATTTACAAAGAGAGCATGAAGTTACCATGACAATAATATAACTGTTCAGGATGCAGCTTTCGGTTCAATTTACATATAGAATTTTTGGAATTGTTATTAAAAATTAGTTTATTAGGAAGACCCAAAGGCTGAGATCCATGGCATCTAATTTCTTTCAGTATAAACTGAAATACATCTGAAAAATGATTTTTATAAAACACTGGCATATCCAAGATTTAGGTGTATTCTGCAAAACAAATTAGTAATTCACTATTGTTTACCCATCTGCTTGTTTATCGTCCTGTTCTGAAAGTCAGGGAGTGGGATCAGGTATTTTTGCTGTATTTTAAAACTGATTAAGTGTCACACTGTTTTTCCCAAGACACACGTGCCTGCAAACTTAAAAGAATGTACAGGGCAAAGAACTTCCTGATCCCTGTCCAGGAGGGCTGTGCTGCTGCTGGAATAAACCTTGCATCCATCAATTCAGGAACAGGAAAATGCAGATTTCCACTACACTTAACAAGAGCTGGCAGCTATAAGGGACAAACTTGGACAAGGCAGAATGGATTCCTGGTTGACAGAGTAGATGTCACCCACCACGTGAAATAAATGAAGTAAATAATGCTTTAAAAAGCATTAAGCAATTTGTTTCAAACATATTTCTTTTAACATGAACACATCTAATAAAAAAAGAAAAAACCTCAACCATTCTCTCAGGAAATGAATAAATTCTCTGCTTTTCAACACAGCTCCCTAACTGCAAAAAATTGTTTTGACAATATTTGCTTGACTATCACTTGAAAGTATTTCTGCAGTATTTTTCACCATTATTTAGCATCCTTATCAGTCATTAACTGGTAAAGTGAAGCTGGATGTAAGAATACACACAAAGCCCCACCAGCCAACATGTGCAGCAAGCAGAAGTAATGCTACAATTATGCCTTAACTTCAGCAATACTCCAAAACAAATATTTTCCCAAGCAACAGAAGATAGATTTAATCTTTTTGCTTTTCAATGCACTCCCTCTTCTCCTTTATTTCATCACATCTTGACCACTCTGAAGCCTTCTGATTCTTCAGAGGAAGGATTAAACATTTACATTTACACTGTGCTGCTTTTCCTCTGAACTCTAGGATTTATGATTCAGTTTCATATCCACAGATAGCAAATTATCTCCAAATGTTCACCAGTGAGTCACTATTAAGAACTACTGAACAAGGTCAATTGACAGTCTTTGATGTTTCCCGTTATTTTAAAAGTTCCTTTTGAATGTTTTGAATTTGAGTCTAAAAATAAAGAAAAAAGAAGGTGTGTCATTATATTAGAGATTTATTTCTTCCTTTTGAACTTAAAACTTTGGCAGATCTATGGCTCATCCAGGTCATGGCTCGCTCACAGGTAAGCTACTAGTGCAAAAGTAGCAAAAACTTTTATCCTTAAATATTTCACATCTCATCTTACTGAATTTTTGTAAAATTAAAATTGTTTAACTTCCTCTCTCATGGGAGTTAAAAATATTTGCCAAAATAAGGGAAGGCAATTGGCTTGTTTTAGTACTGTGGAATCTGGATGATGCATCCTGGAACTCGTTTTCTCATTTATATAATGACATATGCTGGGACATAACTGCAACACTTTGTCTGGAGACATTATTTGCACTTACTTTCCAGTAATAAAAACTAAGGTGATAAAAAAAAAGATCAGTAAGTTCCTTAAAAACTGAACTGCTAGTACTAAAAAGATGAAGTTAAAACCATACAATGTAATTAATTTAGACATTATGATCTCATTTTTAGCCATCTCAATTTTCAGCTTCTTTCCAATGTGATTATCATAACTTAATCTGCACCTAATTAACACCAAACTCTGTATTCTAGAAAAAGTATTAATGGTTATTCAGATGGTAGGGCCACTCTGCATGTGTGTCTGTATCTCAGCTGAGATTACCCCGTGGCAGGGCTGAAAAGTGACAAGTTCAGAGAGGAGGATTTGCTTTTCCCAAAGGGAACACACAGTGACTGCACCTCCCACTCCTGACCTGCTTCCACTCTTCCAAACTTTTAAAGGGTTGAGCAAAAGGCACATCAATTCCTCCCTGGGCTACTACTGTGGAAATTTTGATGGATGCCTGTACACAGCACAAACTAAACCTGCACTGGATTATGTGGTACTGACACTCCTAATGCTGAAAAGTAATTTATATGGAGTTACTGGGACTCCACAACAAGTTTCAAACCCTAGTTGAGGAATCTTAGTTAAACCATCAGATCCAGCAAACAGAAACAGATCATTACCCAAAGTGGTGGAACTCAGATTACACAGTACTATATTTAAGCACATCATTTAAACTTTTTCCCCTCGGTTAGCTAAAAATAAAGCAAATTTGATAGCTTTAAAAAAAAACCACGAAACCTTAACCTGCATTTTTTTTATTAACATATTTTCCAACAATATGATCCTTGTGACAGCTCCATAAACAGAGTCTGCGGGGACCACCAAAGAAACTCACTTGTTGCTTTGTTTTTGATTTCTGGGGGCGGACGGTTTGTTTTGCTGTCTCCCCCGCCCAGGTGGGGACTCACCGAGGGGCAGGAATGCCAGGCGGTTGCCAGCCATGGAGAGCTCGTTGAGGCTGGGCAGCTGGCACAGGTGGCGGGGCACAGACCACAGGTGGTTCCTGTCTGCAGTCAGGTACTGCAGAGAAAGGCACATGTGCAGCCTCTCGGGTAGCGTCATCAGGCGGTTGGTGGAGATGTCCAGGGTCTGCAGCTCCCGCAGGTCTCCAACCTCTGCACAACAGGCAAGGAGAATTGTAACTACTTTCACAAAAACCACCAGAAAAAAACCCTCTCACATAAATTAAAGTTCATCAGCAAAGCTGCCTTTCTGTGGATAATATTCTCTCAATCCGTGTTGAGAACTGATACCGACTGATGCCTTGTGAAGGCTGACCTAGAACAGAGGAGTTAAAGAATTAATTAGGGATTTATTAGGAGGCCTAAAGGAATCCACCTTGAGCAGTACAAGAGCCCAGCCAGGGCTACACCCAACGTGAACCCAAATGGTCACAAAATGCACGAGCTCTCCTGGGGGCTCTCCCTTTGATCAGTTCTGCTCCATTTGCAGATTGGAGTTCATTGTTCAATTCCAGCTTTAGGTTATTAAGCCCCTTTCTTGTTTTCTCTCTTTGGTCCACATTGTTTGGGAGCATTGGTCCTTGGTCCCAGCTGGAGAAGTAATTGTTTTGTCTCCCTACTCTGTGAAGAGAGCTCACCATCCCCTAATATGAAGCTCAGAAGTGTACACTAAAGCAGCACAGAATCTGAAAAATATAAAAGCTAAAATCTGAGGAATCATGATAATCTCCATCATCTTCATGTATCAAAAAGATCTGGAATATAAGGATAATGGAGATTATCAGTATCTATTAGGAACCTTTGTCAGTATGTTCAAGCATGAGATCTTTCATAGAGCATTCCTGAATTGGGACAATTACTACTGTCAAAATATCAATAATTTTCCTAATCCTAAATCAGAATGAGGAAAGAAAAAAAAA